TGCTCGGGGCCAGCCCCATCCCCGAGTCCGCTCCTACCATGGGCCCCTATGCTTCCCATTGTTCCCCCGCCATCCTAAATCCACATCCTGCATTGCAAGATACGCGAGCTTTGGATGGATTTCGTCCAGCAAGCAAGACCCACGCCAAGGTCAGAGCTGCAGGCTGTGAGGCACTGTGCTTACGTGGAGACTACAGGTGTGCGGGAGCACCTCCACAGCAAGGCCAGAGTGCCGCTATCACGTGCACCGACGTGTTGCCACCAGGGGACGAGCTTGAAGGCACCTATAGCCCGGCTGTGCATTCCACCTTGGGAACAACAGGAGGCAGGATGGGAAACTGCAGAACAACGCTTTCGAATGTCGCAGCCTTTAACCTTCAAGGGGGCTTTTGAACCACCTACAGGCCTTATGACAGATGCTCTGAATCGCCCACGTGGGAGTGGAAGCCACGGAGGCTGAGTAAGTGAAGGGCATGCTGTTTTCTCAGATGCCCAGGTTGGCATCCAGAACGTTCATGGGGCTTTGGTGCCCCTCAAACACTTCAACCTTCTATTCTGGCACTCTGCCACCAGAGGGCGGTGGGTGACTTGATCACAGGGCACATTTACAGGTTCCAAAGGAAGCCTGAGCCAAGTGCAGAGGCTCGTTGAGTGACAGCCTGGGAGCAGAGGAGCAGTGCCCAAACCCCAGACCTGGTTAAACTGTAAGAAACACTGACATGTCTTTTCATGCCACATCCTTACACACTGTCATGGTTGGACTGTGTCCTCCAAGATGCAGCTTGAAATCTTAACTCCTATGCCTGTAGCGGAAGAGCCTCAGGTGGTGTGAACGGCTGGCACTCAGTTACTAACCTAAACCTAAAGGTTTTAGGTTTACTAACCTAAACCTTTAGGGTGACCTAAACCTTTAGGTTAACAACAGAAACCTAAAGGTTGGAAGTTCAAACACACCCAGTGGTACTGCAGAAGAAAGGCCTGGTAACCTCCTTCTATAAAGACACAGCCAAGAAACCCCCCGTAGAAGCTATGCTCTGTAACTGGATGGCGATGGCTTCAGTTCTATCTCTTTGGTCTCCTGTGGCTGTGATCCCATTTGGAAAGAGTTTTTCTCCTGCTATGTTAGTGAGGCCACACTAGAGTCAGAAAGAGTCTTAAACCAACTGCGTCTGAGTCGTAGAAACACCAGAACTGGCAGAGAAACTCTCGGGGGTCGGGGGGAGACAGACACTACATGAGGCCCTGTTCACAAGCCAAGTGTTGCTGGAGACATCAGAGACTAGGAGAGGCCCACAGGAGGGTCCACAGCTGAATTGATGTCTCAGTCACCGAATGCTGCTGTAACAGAACTACCACACGGGGGCAGCTCTGACAAACAGAACTTTATTCTCTCATGGTTTCAGAGGCGAGAAATCCAAATTCAGGGTGCCAGCTCTAGGGGAAGGCTTTCTCTCCGTCGTTCCGGGGCGAGGTCCTTTTCTGCTATCAGCGTCTGTGGGCCCGGTGTCCCTTGGAGAGCTCCATGTGTTCTGACATCCGTCTTCTCCCAAGTCTAGGAGGGTCTCTCTCCTTTTATCTCTTGTAAGACAAGAGGCATTGAGGGCCACACCCCAGAGAAAATCCCCATAAGTTGGATCAGGGCTATGACCTGAGTAAGGGTGGTGATTTGAGTAAGGGTGATGCAACCACGCTAGTCCTGTCTCATCAACATAACCAACATAATATATCCAAAAACAAAACAAAACAAAAACATAACTTAGTCTTCTTTA